TTTAAATTAGCTGCATGTTTCAATTTGAAAAAATACCCTCTATTGAAGGAAGTAAAAATGGGAAATAGTGAAAAACAAATTGTCACCAAATCCTGGGATATAAAGTCTACACCAAAGTCAGTCCAATATTAATAGTATTCATGTATGATTTTTAGTTATGAAATGTAAAACAAAGTAACACAAGTAAAACAGAGTTTTTAGATACTCACAAAGTACTGTATTTTTCAGAGTATAAGATGCACTTTCCCCCCCTAAAATAGGCTGAAAATTTGGGTGCATTTTATATTCCAAATGTAGCCCCGCCCACCCACTGGCCCTCACCCTTTGGCCTCTGCGCATCTTCTTCCTGGCTGCAGCGATTGCCACAGACAATGACTTGCATTAGTGAGCTCTGCACTTCGCGTTTTTGCGTCCAAATGCTCTGTTTGAGAGCTGTTCAAGGCTGCGGGGATTGCCAAAGCACATCACCACCGATCACCGCCTCCGCGCATTCGGTTATAGGACTTCACACGCCCCTTTTTGGCCTCTGTGCATCACATTTTCAGGCGGTGATTGGTGGTAATGTGCTTTGGTGATCCCCACCGCTTTCAACGGCTCTCAAATGGAGTGTTTGGAGGCTGAAAACTCGAGGCATGGAGCCCACAATGGCAACCTGGAACAGCTGCTGCTTGTCTTACCACTTCCGTACTTCACCTGCTTTATTCACTGGAGCTCCCTCGGACGATCAGTTGTGCTTTTGAAGCTGCTTATCAGCCCCAATGAGCGCGTGCTCACAACCAGCAAACTAATGTGCTGAAGCTGACCAGGCTAAGGATGCTAGCCAGATGAATACCTCGTAGGCAGAGGCAGAATTTTTTTCCCCTATTTTCTTCCACAAAAACTAAGGTGTGTCTTATATTCCAAAAAATACTGTATTTTAGATTATGTAGTAACAAGCAGTTTGGAACTATGGACCAATCTGAAGTTATTTAAGAAACAGCACAATTTCACACTGTTGGCAGACTGTTCTTGAATAAGCTGACTGAATTCAATAGTTAATAATTTGGTAAAGTCCATTCTATTTAGATTAAAAGAGATTCTAATTACACTCAAAAATATTTTAAACCATTCAATGTGACCATCAACCCCTCCCCTCCTGTAAAAGTTAGGGTCCCTTTGTACACCAATAGTCTATTTCTAAACTGAACATATGGCACATGGTGGGATTCAGCCAGTTCGTACGGGTTCAATAGAACCAGTAGCTTTTTTTTTATGGAGTTCAGCGAACCGGCTGAATAACATGCCTCACTTAAAAGCAAATAGTCCTATTTGTCCTGCCTGTTTTAATTTTTAATGAGGTTGCAAAACACAAACAGCTACTATATAAAAACTAGACTGGGCTCTAGGTTTGAGTTAACATGCAAAACAGTCAAGAGAGATACTTTCCAAGTGATCACAATTCAAATCTCGCCTGAGCAATGCCACATTTTCTGGAATTCTGTTCTGGTAGTCGGAAGGAAGGGAATCCACACTGAGAAGGAAGAATAAGTGACCATCCATCCCTTCTACATAAGCTGTCTCATTGACAATACACATGGGGAACTATAGATAGAGCTCTATATTACTCCACAGCAACCAAGTATTGTCTCTTCACCAGAAATAAGGAAGGTTTTTGCCACCCCACTCCCACCCCCAGCAAAGCTGACTGGGCTAGCCACATCTGCACGGGGAAGACCACAAGCCCCAGATCTCTTAGCTGCCGCCTTCGTTCTTCCAGTTGCGAAGCTGATGAAAGTGAAAGTGTCACGGCCAACCCACCACCACTATAGTTCCCTCCCCATCTTCCTTGACTTTGGCTTGTCTGGGTTCACCTTCAAGCATTCACCTGGAGGAGCGAGAGTGCAGGAGAGCACAGCATCAACAAAGGAGTGGACTATCTGCTGTTGGAGGAAGTGATCCATCTCACCCGAAGACCTTCAGGTATAAAAATCCATGGCAGGCAGCCCCTGGAGCTTCCCCCGCCGCTTTCAGCTACTAAAGCAACTGTCCTTGCTGCCTGGTACTCCAGTTGTGGCTAGGCTCTGGGTCAGGTGAGCACCAGGCTGGGTTTTGTCGGGGGGTAGGGGAAACTCTGAAATACAAAGGAGGGTCTAGAGAAGCCGTGCCACTTAAAAGCAGCTCCTCTCTCTCGTCCTTTGGTCCTTTTTCTCCTAAAAAGAGACCGAAACGCCCTTTGGCTTTCAGGGCTCATTCGGATCCTCAGCATAGGAAAGGCAATCCCTCTAGCAAAGCAGTGCAGGATTGCTTTTAAAGACTTTAATCTTTAAAGAACAGGTTTCCCTTGAAACTGAACTCCGAGGGGTTTTAGTTTGTATGTAAAAATATAGGGCCTTTTAGGTGTGACGGAGGTTATACTGAGGCTGCAGCACTGTATGGAACGCCTATTAAACTAGAGGACTGCAAGGAATATAAATCCTTCCATCCTCCACCATTTGTCAGAACTGAAGAAGCTTTTGGATGAGAAGCAAAACATCATCAAGGAGAAACAAAGGCCATTTGCCTTTTGAAAAAGCACCTTTGGGACAACCTGGATGACTGAGAATCTCTGTAGACAACTAGCCTAGGAGAACTGCAAGGCATAATTTAACCCATGGCAGTATTTGCTAAATACATTTTAAGCTAAATCATATTACATTAAATTAGCTGAGTTGGCTAAACTGCATCATTCATCACACAAAGCCAGAACTGGTTGATGGGTTGGTTGGTGAGTTGATTCATTTTTTGGTTCATTGATTGGAGATTATGGAATTTATATAGCAGAAGGTTAGGGCTAGGGTTAAAAGTTTAGAAGTACAGTAGATACGGGAAAGATCAACTCTACTTTGAATCATCAAGTGATGAGCAGGTATTTAACTAAGCCATTCATCACCTCCAACATGGGGGAGGGGGATCATGAATGTAAAAAATACCTGTTACAAGGTTATGGTTGGGTTCCCACCTTATAGTAGGCTAAAAAAATAATTGTCTGTGGTTCACTGTATTTTGTGAACTCAACCAGAATACTCTCTTTTTGATGTCATTCAAACTAAATTTATCTCTTCCTTTGAGAAAGTTGTTAGTGCAATAGATGATTGGTATGTTGCAAGACTTTCAAACAGTCTGTCTCTCTTTCATAAAATAGTAAAATAAGAGCTAGATGACACGATTGCTAAAAGAATTACAGTTGGCTAAATGACCACACTCTAAGAATTATTGTAATGGTTCCACTTAGTTGTGAGGTTCCACAGAGCTCTGTCTTGTGCTTACATTTTTATCAGTGATTTGTATGAGGAAAATAAATCAATGCTTAGGAGACCTAAAAGGTAGATGGTTAATACTTAAGAGGAGAGAAGGAATTAAAAACAAAAAAACCTAGACAATCTTGAGTGTGCTGAAAAAATAAGATGGAAGTTAGTTGAGAAACATAAACTTCTGCATCTGGATAGGCAGAAGTATAAAATGGGGAGACTTTGCAGCAATTCATGTGAAAGGAATCTGATTCTTGTTTATCACAAATTCAATATGTACCACTAGGGTGAAATAGATGCTACAAAGGCAAATGACACTTTAAAATACACTTGCAAGACCTAATATCCACATCATGGGGAGTAACTGTCCCAACTCTGCTCTTCCTTGATTAAATCCTACTTGGAATACTTGGTGTCCTGTTCTGGTTACAAATCAGTTCGGTCTAGTGGTTAAGGCACCAGGTTAAAAACAAGACACTGTGAATTCAAGTCTTGCCTTAGCCATGAAGGCCAGCTGGATGACTTTGGGCCAGTCACTCTCTCTCAGCCCATCTCACCTCATAGGGATGTTGTTGTAGGGAAAACAGGAAGAGAAGGGTGTTTTTGATATGTACACTGCCTTGTGTTAGGAAAAATAATAAAGGTGGGATATAAATAAAAATAAAAAGGGCAATTATAAATGGGAACAAATTTAGAAGAGGAGTATCACAATGGTGATTGATCTGAAAACCAAGCAATATAAAAAGGAGTTTATAGATATGTTTAACATATAGAAGAGATACCAAAGAAAGATATGATAATAGTTTTCAGCTCTGTAAAGGACTGTCATTTGGAAGACATCATAGGATTTATTTTCTATTGACCCAGTGGACTGAACCAGAATCAATGATATAAGGAAGTATATTCAGGCTACAGATGACTCAATTTACAAGCTGTTGGTTAGTGGAATAAACTGTTACAGATTGTGCTAGTTTTTCTTCACTGGAAATTTTTGAATATAGATTGTATGGTCATCTGTCATAAAGGCTGTAATGGTTTCTGCACAATCCTCTGCAAGTTGGGGTTGAACTTGTTGCTACCATCCACATGTGAAGTGGAGAATGTCAGTAAGCAATGGTTTGAGATACTTACAATGCCCTTATAATGTTAACACTGACTCTACCACAAGGGGAAGGAGGAGTTTTGTTTCCAAGCAAGTGAGGCTTGCCTAGATGAGGCGAGCGGCTGAAAGGCAAGGTGAGGGGCCAGGCGAGGTGAGCCGCTTAGTGAGGAAAGGCTGGGCAAGGAGAGGAGAGGCTGGGCATGAAAAGGAGTGGCTGGGAGTGGAGAGGGCAGGCATGGTGAGGAGAGGCCAGATGAAGCGAGGCGCCCCTCGACGTGAGTGACGTTGAGTTGGCCATGTCTACCCAGTCACCCAGCCATGCCTACCAACCCAGTCATTAGGGCAGAGAACCGGTTGTTAAATTATTTGAATCCCACCACTTATTCAGGTCCTAGCAAAACCATTGGCTGCATTGACTAGAAGATTTGAGAATTGAAGCAGTACTGTACCATTTTCTTGAATCTGGTCTCAACCAGTATCCATTCATCTTTGTTCCACTTTACTTCAGTGTTTCCTGTCCTTGACCATTTCAGATTTTATTTGTAGAGGTTCCATAAATAGCTATTGTCATTTATAACTTTGTGAAGAATCATTTGTAACTCCAGCTTGATTTTTTTTAAAATCACTTATAGCTACCTCATCCCTGAATTCCCAACTCCAGCAGCTCCAGCATCTTCAACAATTCCAGCAGCAGCAGCAGCAGCAGCAGCAACAACAACAACAACAGCAGCAACAGCAGCAGCAGCAGCAGCAGCAGCAGAGCCAAATTAGCCAGCAAGCACAGGGACAAGCTAGTCAATCCCAGCAGCAACCAACACAGCCACAACTGCCTCAACAGCAACAGCATCCTCCACCTCCACTACCACTATCACAGCAACAGCCTCAGAATCAAAATCCACCAGCTCCAGCTCACCAAACTTCAAGCTCCCCCATAAAGACCAACCTACCTCCAGGTCATGGTCTTCCCTCTTCACTCACATCCTCAAACCCCCTCCAGGTAAGTGTTAGATGATCTGCTTGTTATCTCTTACTTTATTCACCGTTGTTTATCTCATCTGTCTTTTATTTGAATGGTTTCTACCACTTTTCAATGGTGGTAGTGAATAATTTCTACCATTTTTCAGCGTGGCCTGATTTTGTTTTGCATAATGTAAGTATTGTGGTCAGCATATTATGCCCAAAATTCTGGATCACTTGTTTTTTTCTTAAATAACTGGCATGACTCTTATTTTATCATCTTTAGCATTTCCATATTTTTAAGATGTTTATATGCTCCCCCATGCACACATATATACACTTATATTTTGACTTCACAATGGTCTTTGGACTCTGATATTTCATCCCAGTATATTTCACATTTGAAGTAGGGATGGTGATACTGTTTCTCTCTTGCAGATAGAATGTGGAACTGGAGAAAGAAATAGCCTAGGAACTACTAGTTTTCATTCATCTGTTTCATGTTAAACTGTCCTTCCTTCAGAGGGCCATGAGTAGAAATTTCTTTCACCTCCCATTCTAATTTTATCTTTATAATGGACTTAATGTGGACTTTATAATAAATAAAGTGATAAATTAAAAAGCACATAGTAGAAATAGGTTTGATAAAAACTTAATGAATATCATTTTTCTTCAAGTTTGCTCTATTTAATTTTAAGAAACTCTGGTGCCCATCACCATCTAAAGAATTTATATTTTCCTTGAGGTCAAATGCAAATTGGAGGGAAGAAGACCCTTTCTTTCTCCAACAAATTGGTCTTTATCAGTTATATTAATTGCTTCATCTCTTATTTGTTCCAGAGGTTTAAGTGCTACATTCTTATTTATATTTGCTTGAAAAATGAAGTAACATACTAAAGGAGAAAACAATTGCATCAGCATTCAGAACTACAGAAGTATTCCAGATTAAACATAAACAACAGTAACAGTTAGCAGTTTTGATATTTTTAAAACAGAAACGTTATCTGGAGATGAGGAGGGTAAATAACATCTGGAAAATATAGAATAACAGAGTTGGAAGGGACCTTGGAGGTCTTCTAGTCCAACCCTGCCCAGGCAGGAAACCCTACACCACTTCAGACAAATGGTTATCCAACATCTTCTTAAAACTTGTTGGAGTTTTAAGTGTAGGAGCATTCACAACTTCTGCAGGCAAGTTGTTCCACTTATTAATTGTTCTAACTGTCAGGAAATTTCTCCTTAGTTCTAAGTTGCTTCTCTCCTTGATTAGTTTTTACCTATTGCTTCTTGTTCTACCCTCAAGGGCTTTGGAGATTAGTTTGACTTCCTCTTCTTTGTGGCAGCCCCTGAGATATTGGAACAGTGCTATCATGTATCCCCTAGTCCTTCTTTTCATTAAACTAGGCATACCTGGTTCCTGCAACTGTTCTTCATATGTTTTAACCTCCAGTCCCCTAATCATCTTCGTTGCTCTTCTCTGCACTCTTTCTAGAGTCTCCACATCTTTTTTACATTGTGGTGACCAAAACTGAATGCAGTATTCCAAATATGACCTTACCAAGGCATTATAAAGTGGTATTAACACTTCACGTGATCTTGATTCTATCCCTCTGTTTATGCAGACCAGAACTGTATTGGCTTTTTTGGCAGCTTCTGCACACTGCTGGCTCATAACTAAATGGTTGTCCACTAGGACTCCAAGATCCCTCTCACAGTTACTACTATTGAGCAAGGTACCACATATTACTTTACTTTACTTTACTTTATTCAAATTTCTATACCGCCCTTCTCCTTTCGGACTCAGGGCGGTGAACAGCCAAGATAAAAACATCTATACAAAACATCACAGTTAAAAAATAAAGTTAAAATAATTTATAAATTTGGCCCATAATTTAAAACTTGTCAATTTAAAATCAATATTAAAATTTTAAAACTAACCCTAAAATCAAGACAGACCGGCTAACTGGAAAAAATAAGTTTTTAGGGCCCGACGAAAAATCCGAAGGTCGGAGATCACTCGTATCTCTGGGGGTAGATTGTTCCATAGGGTAGGTGCCACCACAGAGAAGGCTCTCCTCCTGGGGGTCGTCAGCCGGCATTGTCTGGCCGACGGCACCCTGAGGAGGCCCTCTCTGTGGGAGCGAACCGGCCGGTGGGAGGCTATTGGTGGCAGAAGGCGGTCCCGTAAGTACCCTGGCCCTAAGCCATGGAGCGCTTTAAAGGTGATCACCAACACCTTGAAGCGCACCCGGAAGTCCACCGGAAGCCAATGCAGCTCGCGCAGGAGAGGAGTCACATGGGAGCGCCCCGTCGCTCCCATAATCCCCCGCGCAGCCGCATTCTGCACCAGTTGGAGCCTCCGGGTGTACCCCAAGGGGAGCCCCATGTAGAGAGCGTTACAATAGTCCAGACGAGAAGTGACGAGTGCTTGAGTGACCGTGCGTAGGGAGTCCCGGTCCAGAAAGGGGCGCAACTGGCGTATCAGGCGAACCTGACAAAAAGCCCCCCTGGCCACGGCTGTCATATGCCCTTCTAAAGACAGCCGCGCATCCAGGAGGACACCCAAGTTGCGGGCCCTCTCCGGGGGGGCCAATGATTCGCCCCCAATAACCAGCGATGGCGTCAGCTGGCTATACCGGGACGCCGGCAGCCACAGCCACTCGGTCTTGGAAGGGTTGAGTCGAAGCCTGTTTCTCCCCATCCAGACCTGCACGGCCTCCAGGCACTGGGACATCACTTCCAAGGCATCATTGGGATGGTCTGGGGTGGAAATGTACAGCTGAGTATCATCAGCGTACTGATGGAACTCCACCCCAAAACCACGGATGATCTCACCCAGCGGCTTCACATAAATGTTGAACAGGAGGGGCGAGAGGACCGACCCTTGCGGCACCCCACAAACAAGGCGCCTTGGGGTCGACCGCTGCCCCCCTGTCAACACGGATTGCGACCGGTCGGAGAGATAGGAGGAGAACCACCGCAAAACGGTGCCCCCCACTCCCAGTCCCTCCAGCCGGCGCAACATGATACCATGGTCGATGGTATCAAAAGCCGCTGAGAGGTCTAATAGGACCAGGATAGAGGAAGAACCCCTATCCCGGGCTCTCCAGAGATCATCCACCAACGCGACCAATGCCGTTTCCGTGCTGTACCCAGGTCTGAAGCCGGACTGGAGCGGATCCAGATAGACAGCTTCATCCAGGTACTGGGGAAGCTGTCGTGCCACCACACTCTCAACAACCTTCGCAATAAAGCGAAGGTTGGAGACTGGACGATAGTTAGCCAAAACAGCCGGGTCCAGGGATGGCTTCTTGAGGAGAGGCCTCACCACCGCCTCTTTCAAGGCGGCCGGCAGGACACCCTCGCTCAAAGAAGCGTTAATAATCCCCTGGAGCCAGCCTCGTGTAACCTCCCGGGAAGCCAGCACCAACCAGGAGGGACACGGGTCCAATAAACATGTGGTTGCGTTCAGCCGCCCCAAGATCCTGTCCATGTCCTCGGGAGCCACAGGATCGAACTCCTCCCAGATAACACTCTCAAGGCCTGCCTCAGTCGTCTCGTCTGAACTAACCCAGTCGGCGGCCAAGTCTTCCCGAATCTGAGTTATTTTATCATCCAGATACTGTACAAAATCCTCAGCTCGGCCCTGCAAGGGGTCCTCCCGCGCTCCCAGATGGAGGAGGGAGCGGGTCACCCTAAACAGGGCGCCTGGGCGGTTATCTGATGACGCAATAAGAGCGGCAAAATAGCTAGATTTCGCCGCTTTTATCGCCACTAGGTAGGTCTTAATATGAGACCTTACCAGTGTCAAGTCAGACTCGGAACGACTGGCCCTCCAACCGCTCTCTAGGCGTCTTTTCCGGCGCTTCATCACCCTCAGCTCCTCGGAAAACCGAGGAGCTAAGTGAGTTCGGTGCCGGGTCAGAGGCCGCAAAGGCACGACCCGGTCCAAAGCCCCGGCAGCCGCCCTATCCCAGGCGGCCACCAGGTCGTCAGCCGAGTCATGAGCTAGAGTCTCAGGAAATGGCCCAAGCTCCATCTGGAACCTATCAGGGTCCATCAGGCGCCTGGGGCGGAACCACCTGGTCGGTTCCGCCTCCCTGCGATGGGGTACGGCGGTCAGAAAGTCAAGTCGAAGGAGCGAGTGGTCAGACCATGACAAGGGTTCAATAGCTACATCCCCTATATCAAGGCCACTCAACCACTGACCAGAGATAAAAACTAAGTCCAGAGTGTGTCCCCCCATATGAGTAGGGCCGTGAATTACTTGGGTCAGGTCCATGGCCGTCATGGAAGCCATGAACTCCCGAGCTACCTCAGATGTCTCACCGATGGATGGCAGGTTGAAATCCCCCATGACCACAAGTCTGGGGGTATCAGCCGCCACCTCGGCTATAACATTGAGGAGTTCGGGCAGGGTCGTTGCCACGTGGCAGGGAGCCAGGTACGTGATCAACAGACCCATCTGCACCCCACGACCCCACTTCACAAAAAGGGACTCACATCCGGCTATCTGAGGTACAGTGGTCTCCCTCGGATCAAGACCTTCTTTTAAAATGACCGCCACCCCCCCGCCCCTGCCCTGAGCTCTCGGCTGATGAAATGCACGGAAGCCTGATGGGCACATCTCCACGAGGGGAACTCCCCCCTCATGGCCCAACCAGGTCTCCGTGATACCTGCCAGGTCCGCTCCCCCCTCTTGAATAAGATCACAAATGAGGGGGGCTTTATTTACTACGGACCTGGCATTACATAACATCAGTCGGAGACTCGGGCGCTGAGACTCTAAGCAGCCTGGGGAACGGGAAGAACTAAAGGGACCGGGGCACGCAATCGCTCGGAGATAGCGAGCACGTGCCCCCACCACATGATATGGCCCCCTGCTCCCGCCATACCTGCCCCTCCCACTCAGCATGCTAATAGAGAAGCCCTCACTAGAGGGCATTCTAACAGTCCCCTTTCCCCCAGAGTCCGTACCCCCTACGGCACCATTAGTAGCAGCCGGACTGGTCTCCAACCCCCGTGGGTTTTCCCCCAAAC